TTTTTTTTTTTTTTTTTTTTGCAGTTTGCCTTCAGTTTAGTAAGGCACCAAACAGATATGAGTAGTCTTGAGTTAGTGCATGAAGTTATGTATCTGTTTTAAAACCATTACTGAATCAAGAGTTTTATGTTAAGCCATTTTCCTCACTTTTAAGGGTTTTTGATTTGCACCCAGGCAGAGAAACTTGAATTAAACATTTTCTGAAGGACCCAGTGATAGATATAATGACGATAATTTAATCTTAATGAATCTAAAAACTAGTTTAGGCTTCAAATCTGAATGTTTTTGTCCATTCCTGGTGCTTTTGATGTCTCCTTAATGCTTTTGGGCATTTCTCAAGAGTTAAGGTCACTTTAGGGTAAAGTAAAAGCATGCCGGCTACCCAAAATGCTTCTTTAGCACTTCATGAACAATACAATTTTGACTATCTTTGCAAACAGTGGACATAGCGCTGCCAGATGTCTAGAGGAATATAATAGGTTGCAATATTCATTTAGGCAGTTCCTCCTAAAAGTGGTCACTGAGCATTTTCTGGTATCTGGCTGATGCTCATACCTTTCAGTTTCCTCATGTTTCTCCATCAATGCATATTTTTGGCAGGTGTAGTTTTTAGATTGTTGTTTTGGCTTATGTAGAATTTTTTTTTATATTTCTTGTATTATTATAATATGTCGCTAACTGGTATTGTTTAGTTATGCTGTTGTTTAATCACATTGTATTAATGTGATTTTTTTTTTCTGGGTGTGTATAATCATTCATTGTCATTTTCTTTTAATTGTCAGGCTGAATTTCCCCGGCTTCCTCAGGATCTGAAAGGAGAGACATTTTCTCATGTTTTTGGAACAAATACTTCTAGCCTGGAGCTTCTGTTGATGAGCAGGAAGATCAAAGGACCGTGTTGGCTGGAAATAAAAAATCCACGTACGAGGGTTTGCATATTGAATACTTAAAACATTGCTAGAAAAATATGTGCAAATAAACTGATAGAGGGATGGGACATTGAGCGTTTACCTGTACAGTTCAGTTTTATGAAATATTTATTAGACATAGGGTGCTAGAAAGTGAGGGCCATTTTATATGAACAGATGTTTTGAAATTCCAAAACAAAGATGCATCTGAAAGCAATCTGTTCTGATACCAGGAAAAACCTGGGAGATGACTTTCCTGTCTGGAATAATCCCCCAAACCAAACCTGGTAGAACAGGAAAAATATAAAGATTGGGAATGACTCCAGTTTGATTCTTGGATTTTGTTAAACCTGCCATCTCAATGACCTTTCTCACAAAAAAACAGAACCCAACAAAACAAAACAAACAAACAAACGGTTTCCCCCCTCCCTCCCCCAAACACCAACAACAGAGTAAGTGGCCTCCTTACTTCCTCTTAGATCCACACGAAGAGGTTTGTACTCCTTATGGTTCTTCACTTTGAAGACAAAGGAGGGTCTTCTTCCTTTTGAGCTAAAAATAAATTGATCAATCATATATGCACCATCTCAAAATCAGGGTAGTGATAAGCCCCACTTATCCCTTTCTCAGATTCAAAATCTGTCCCTGCTTGTGGTTCCTATGACCATAGTTTCCAAATAGCTTATAGGCATTTTAATGTATTTATTCTTGCATCATTGTTGTGAAGCTGGAATGTACTGTTATCTCAGGTTCACAGAAGGGAAACAGAGGCACAGGGAGGCTGACTCCCAGCATGTCTGTAGAAGTTTGGAGTGTGAACTTGGAACTTATATTTTCAAAGTCCTATATTAGTACCATTTCTTATGGGACAGTATTTAAGTTGGTGACTTTCCAACGGGGATGCCATGATGCCAACACAACCAGGGTGAGTGGACAGTTCTATCTGGTGGCAGATGCATTTATCTCCAGGTGACTGCTGCCACTGTGGAGTGAAACTGTCCCTTGTTTTCAGGAGGTACATTGGAACCAAACTGGGAAGAGGTGCAGCAAAAGCAGCATGCCTGCCCACGTAATACAATGCAGGCAGGTGCTCCTTTCCGTTGTAGCTTCTTCTCTAGTTTGGTGCCAACATTCCTTCTGAAAACCAAGGCACATGGTACAGCTTTTCACCTTGTGGTGGCAGTGACAGTGCTACAGCACTCCCTTAGCCTGCCCCTGCTTCCCTCCCAGGCCTTGTATGTCCTTTTGCCCACCTTTTTCCCCTCCCACACTCTTGGTACTCCCGACGTACTGCACATGCACCCCAGCATCTTGTTCTTGCTTGCCAGGTGTTCCCAGACACTGCCCCAGGGCCAGGTTCAGGGGCATCATCCTGAGGTGACTAATAGAATAACTTGGCCCAGTGGTTCCCAGTGTCCACCAGTGACTTGGAGCTATGTTTTGGGAGTTCAGTGCTCCACTGGGAGCAAACCTGCTCTTGGCCAGGCAGTGCTAGGGGAGCACTCCCCAAACAGCTTGAGGTGGGGAATATAATTTAAGTATATCAATGATTAATTATATATGTACCTATTTATGATATTTGTATTATAATGTTCATGATATATTAGTTTTTTAAACAGGGTGCCACTAAGTTTTGAAACATTTTGAAGGGGTCTTGAGTCTAAAAAGATTGAGAACCACTGATCTAAGTGAGTTACTCAGTGCTTTTAGTGTGCTATTACACGTCTGGTATTTGTCTTCCTCCTTGTATTGAAGCTCATTTGATGAGTTCGAGCTTCCCTATTTGGGTCAACTGGAACTATCCCCAGTTCCGATAGCTGAGAGGCATATCCTTGCTTAATTCCCATTGACCTGGCCTTCCCTGGATACCAGATTGGAGAAGGCAGTCTTTTAAATGTGATGTCTTAGAGAGTTTCTGGGTTAAGACTAGAGGGGAGAGCAACAAGGGTGTTGTTGTGATGGGTGTTTGCTATAGACCACCAGACCGGGAGGATGAGGTAGAGGCGGCTTTTTTCGGACAACTATTAGACGTTTTTAGATCACAGGCCCTAGTTCTCAAGGGGGACTTCAGTCACCCTGACATTTGCTGGGAGGGCAATATAGCAGTGCGCAGGAAATCTAGGAGGTTTTTAGAGAGCATTGGGTCCAGCTTCCTGTCTCAAGCATTGGAAGGACCAGCTAGGGGTTGTTTTCTTCTTGTCCTGCTGCTTACAAATGGAAGAGTTGGTGGGAAATGTAGATGTGGATGACAATTTGGGCAGCAGTGACTATGAGATGATTGATTTCAGGTTCCTTACAAAAGGAAGAAAGGAGAGCAGAAGAGCAAGGAACCTGGATTTCAGAAAAGCAGACTTTGACTCCCTTAGGGAACTGATGGGTAAGATCCCCTGGGAAACCAGTCTGAGGCAGAAAGGAGTTCAGGAGAACTCGTAGTATTTTAAAGAAATCTTACTGAGGGCACAGGAAGATACCATCTCAATGTGCAGGAAGAATAGCAAATATGGGAGGTGACCAGCTTGGCTTAGCAGTGAATTTAAAACACAAAAAGGAAGCTCACAAGAAGTGGAAGGTCAGACAGATGACGAGAGAGGAGTACAAGAATATTGCTCGGGCATGCAGAGATGAAATTAGGAAGGCAAAAATGCAACTGGAGTTGCAACTAGCAAGGGACATGAAGGGTAACAAGAGTTTCTACAAGTATGTTAGCAACAAGAGGAAGGTCAG